ATGTTAAGCCTACATTTGTATTATGTACTATTGTTACGGTGGACCTATTTTGTGAATTTTGAGTTATGAATAGGGAGCTCAAGGGCGAAAGCCTTCTTCCCTTAATAAAGTGACTTAAAGAACCATTTTCGGAATGAAGCTTATTCGTATTAAAATTTTTAGTTTTTGGAATAGTTTAGCAATCATATTAGCAGTATTGACGACAGGAGCGCAAGCAGTGTTAGTGGTTATGGTAATGGCAAGCCCAGATGCTTATTGGTATCAGAATAGCTCGTAGATTTAGCTAAATAAGTTGTCGTATTTGTATTAGCTCTGCATGCCGTTTTTTATGCCGTCATCTTCGCTTATTTTCACAATCTTCTTCGGGGGTGTATTGTTGATTTCTCTCGCATTTTTTTAAAAACGATCCGTCTGCAAATGGCCGAGCAACAATCAGGTGTATGTCTAACACGAGTGGTGGAAGTTCAGCAGGTCACAGCCCACATACCGGAAACTAAGCAATTAGTGGACAAATGGGCAAATATCCTCCATAAGATGGGGTCGTTAGTTTCATTATCAATATACTTATACTGCGTAGACTCTTATCTGCCGGACGAGACCGCCCACTCGGTTGTCTTGCAAATCAGCCAGGTGAAAGCTCATATTCACATCTGTTATTGCACAAAATTGGATGCATGTCAGTTATGGGCACAGTTATAGGTATCGAGTTCCCACATGCACGTACAGGTCGTACTAGTGTATACGCTCTGCGGGTCTTATCAACTATAATTCCTAAAGTTAGCAATTTTATTATTTGCATATTACATCTAGCAGCAGTCTCCTAGCCCGCTTAGTCTGGACTCAGTAGAATCCGAGACAGATTCTGGTAAATAGAGGTGAGAGGGCGGTAAATCAAGGCAAGCCGTTATGTGCTCCAGGCTTCATACGTGTACTTACTCGGAATAGCATAAACGCATATTCACGCTCCGTGTTATGATCGAGGGGATATGAGCCTCGCGTTGACTTTAATCAGTATC